CTTTTATGTAATTATAGTTTAGTTGAGATAAAAAAAGAGAGAATTTTTCATATTTTCTGAAGTATGACAAAAAGGAGACAATGTAAAGTGTAACAAGTTGGTTCTGTTAACATAATTTACAAATGAAAGGATCATATACATAATAACATTAATGTGAGTTTATGTTATCAACTTATTTTCAAGCTCTCACACAGAGCAGAGATGGTTTTCAACATGTTTTTTTAAATATAGCATCCTTTAGCCCTGTTACCACATATATACTGTACTAGCCCTTTTATATAGATTATTAATTTTACTTTTGAGTTTAAATTCTCTAAAGATGTTTTATTGCAAATTTTATTCATGTTAATCATTTAGGAAAATTTATTTGCATGAATATCTGTTAGTGGTACTTCAAAAATACAGCATACCAAAGTGTGTCCTGTTTCCTAAGCTGTATACCTGTACTGTATAAGATAGTTACCATAATATGGACTGTCCTTTGACCTTGTACTGTATATTGAGAGGGTTCGAGTCATATGCAAATCACTTACAGTTTTTTTTATTACAACTCAAAACAAATTTTTCTGACTTTACACTGAGAAGTGTATTTATTTATTTTTTTATTCTCTTAATATTAAGTCATTATTAATTTACAAATCGAATGTACTTGCTTTCAAACAATAACTTATAAGATTTTTTCCTTGTACTTAATGTTGTAATGATTATTTTTATAATATTATTCTTTATAATTCTTAAGATTGATTGATTGATGTTTAATGATATTCCATCAGCGGTATGTTGTTTTATTGTTAATCTTTCTTGATGAGTATTATCCATACCAATTTTCAATCTTCCTGAGTTTTGTATTATTAAATGTAAACACTGACATTAGGATGCAGGTGTAGAAACATTGCGTGGCATTTCAATGATTGCTCTGCTTTGGCCCATTGGGATCAGGATACATCAGACAGACAGTGAATACAGAAAACTCACACTGAGAACACTCGTTGAAGCTCTGTTGGGGAACGAAGCGTGTTTGTATCGTGTTCCAAAAGTTATTAAATATCCTTACAAACCACATCTGACTCGTGTAATATTAGTTGGTAAATATTGTCGTCCACCATTTTGTTTCAGGTCGTAGGTTGTAGGCCATGTACAAAAATATTAATTTCTCATCCGATACACATTGTTTTTTTCTGCTGCATCATTGTGTTTTTAAAAGTTAATCAATAAACTTTTACTACACGTTAGTTACAAATATCTTGCGGATTTATGCAATTTAAAAATGTCCTCTTAAAAATTAGTTTGGTTGAGATTTTTTAAAACCATTTTTGTATTGTTTGTGTCCTAGTATTTAGTAAGTAGTCAAGATAAGTGTCTGTGCATGTATAATTAATAGATATTTATGTCTCATAAGTTCCTCAAATTAAAAGTACAATTCTCTTAATACTTAATTGGTTTCCTAAGCTCTAATTGAACATGAAAGGATTACAGAACATTAATAGTGTACACTTTTGATTGCCCTTGTAAATCGCTTGTCTTTTTTGTTATTTAAAGTTTTTGAGGACAAAACAGGAGTTGTTATTGTGCTTAAATTATCTCCATGAGTGAACTCAAAATAAACTAAACTCAGTCAATTATATTTGATTGATTTCCTGATCACCAGGCCCACCAGGTTACAGACTTCTACATGAAAGTTCATGTACAGTGGAGGTCTATCCCCCACATGCATGTCATTTGTGAGGCTAGCCTCTGACAGCCTACAACTCGTAACTATAATACCAACCATCTGAGGTCACCGGATAATTAGTAACATGGTATTTTGCCCTCCGAACTCAGCAACAGAATATTATTAAAAGATTTTTGTGGTCTGTATATCTTTTAGTTTATTAAATCCACGTAATTACTAACATGTTTGAAGCTAATAACTTATTAATTACGGCTTGTAGATGTCTTAAAATTCAGTAAATTTTTAAGTATTGGCTCAGCAAGGATGGTGTCAAGTTGTGACTGATAATTGCTCCTGCAACACTTTCGGTTTTCTCCCATAAATTTCATTTTGAGGTTTTGGATTTGATAGTGTTTTGTGAGTATCCTCTATAATTATTTTTTTTTAATGTGTGAATTCAAATAATTAAAACTTGAGAGTAATTAATATTTAGGATAGTGATATTATTTCTATCCTTTATTATTTTAGTTTCTAAATGTACCATCTATAATTGTACAATTTTTTTTCTTCCTGTTCAAATGGTGTAACAGAAATTTATTTAAATTTTCAATAATGAAACTTATTTATATAATTGTGGCAAAGACCAGCCAAACCAGTCACTCGTCGCAAAAATTTTTATTATTAATACAGGGTTAAAGAGCAAAATAAGAGCTATAAAATGATAAAAAAACCATTCAAATCCGACATATCCTTATGAAGTTACAAGCATTTAAGCATACAGCTGTTTAAAGAACAATATATGAGAAATCAGCCTTCAAAGTTTATGATTTCAGGCATTTCTCATGCAGAAACTATCATAAAATCTTTAAAAAGTGTTGTTTTAACATTGATATTGGGAAAAATAACAGCACAGCATGATGTATAGATACTAAACCTCAGTTTAGTGAAATAAAATAGATTTAAAAAAAATTTACATTCTAGCAGTTTTTGCTATTTTCTCTGAAACACAATTTGTGATGAGTGACTGGTTTGGCTTGTCTTTGCCACAATTATAATATTGATAGAAATGTTCAATTAATGTAGTGCATGAGTGTTAAGAAGACTATGTATTGAGTAGAAAGTTTAAATGGATTAATAATTTGAATTTACTAAACTTTGTGAAAAGGTACAACCCTGATAGTACTCAGATTCAGACAAGCTGTTGTTTTGTCGCCTACCTTACTAAGATTTTAGTATGGTACATTAAACAAATTAAACTAGATTTGCAAATATGAAAACATGCAGAACATGTACACTAAGCCACATATCAAATATTAGGTGCTTATAAGTACTTCATCCATGTAAAAGCCTACCACATCCAAGTTTACCTCACCTTGATTTAACTACTTGCAGACACCTTTTGTGTCGTGCTTGCGTGCGTGGGTAGAAACCATGTAGATATATGTTCACACCTTGGTTTCATGATCACGTTAATCGATTGGATGGCAGAATTTTTAGGTGTATATAGGAAAGCAACTAAATTGGATTCTACTTTTATGTGTAGGAAGAATGTTGTCTAAAATGTGTGACTATGAAAAAAATCATTCGTAATTTTATTGGCCTAATTCAATATTGATTAAAGAAATTGGGTCAATTATCTAATTGTTCAAAATTCTGTGAACATGCATTTTGTTTTATTATTATACATAATGAATCAACTTAGTAATAGTATGCCATTGATACTTCTTGAAAGATATTTTTGATTAATTTAATTTATTTCTTTCCAGGAAGCAATTACAACAAATATGAAAAATCAGATAGAAAACTGGACGATTCCATTGCATTCAAATTAAACATATAATATTTTATAAGTAAACATTAATGATCATGAGTTATATTGACAGTTATAATATAAAAATTCATAAAGGTACTTTGAAAAAGTCATGCTATTTTACAATTAACTACATTCAAAATGGATAAAACCTCTTAATTATACTGTTACTAATACTGTTGAGTCTTTCTTTGTTCCTAAAGCTTATTATACACTTTAAAACATTTAAATCTGCTCTATGCTTACAGGCAGTCAATCCGTATTTTATACTGAGAAACATGTAAATCCACTGCCAGTAAAGACAGTAAAAAAGCCAGCCCCTATACTCGTTCAAAAACAATTAAATCCACTCTATCAGGCTTGCCTACTCTACACATTGAGGGCATGTGAGTCCACTTTACGTACAGCTTGTGGAAGAAAACACGTAAATCAGATTCACTGTGGGCATACAACGTAGTGTGTGTGTGACATGCATACGAAAATGTAGTATATTTTTTAGTTTAAACAACATCAAGATATAGTGAAAGAACAGTCATCTCAGATTTATCAAAGTGGAATCGAGAAAGTTATGTTGGGCATTCCCACGGCAATTACTAAATGGTTGATTGAAGGTACTTCTCTTATCTGATTTCATCGTCGTCGTTCTCTGACTTCACCAGTAAAATGACATGTTGCTTTTTGTATTTAGTTTATGTTACGTGAATAATGCTTTTATCTACTTTTTTTAATGTCAAAATTCAGTCATTAACATAAAATGCATAATAAACAGTAAATCAGCATGGTAATAAAGTATCAAACCTTTAAAAAATTACTATCAGTTACATTTATTATTGAGATAAATTCTGATATTTATTACAAAGATTGAGCATAGAACCTCGTTATTGGAGAGCAGGTGGCAGGTACATTAACCAGAAACCTATAAGCTTATTAAGAATGCTTATATATTTTTTTATTTTCACATTTTAAAAAATATTTTTTGGTCTTACAGGATACACCCACCTTACAGCTATTAGTGTACAGCCCCTCCCCCCCCCAAAACAATCCAAGCCCTTGCGTGCGGGGGAAACAAGCTTTGAAAAATAAGCTTTGAAAAATAACGATGATTTCATTTGTATGTGGTAGAAAAAATGCCAGTATTATTCAATTTCATGAAAATAAGTTATTTTCAGTATTGGTAATGGAATGTAGAGAAGATTTATACCTTCATGTACACAAGCAGAGCTTTGTGGCCTGCTCCAGAAAGCCTTATGAATGCCATATATTATGTCAGCAGCAATTCCCAAACTATAGTTTCATTTTCCATTAGCCGTTTCATTTCATGTGTATGGTTACTGCAGCTACTGTAAAATCTACCACTGATTCATTCAGGAATTTTTACTGAAGTCTTTCAGGCAAAATACCATATTTATCATTGATTTATTGAATATTTTTCTAATACCTTTTTGTATTGTAAATTTTTTTTAAATATAATATTATATTAAAAATGTTAATATTGATGTTTTGCAGAAGTTCTAATATTAATACTTTTATATCTTACAGATGGTGCTTCAGCGATCCCAGGCCAATAACACCACTCAAGACACATACTATAACGATTTTGTGGACCCGGTGTTCACGCCACCATCTGTACCACCACCTCCGTATTCACCACCCGAATACACCGCCATAGCTAATGATCCAGTTGTGATGGAAAGAAATGAATTTGTTAATGGCCTTACTGTAATGCCACCACCGTACTCCACGTTAGATTGGCCACGGGAACACGCTAGACAACGGGATGCTACTGAACGAACTGTTAGTACAGCTGAAGAGGTAATACTATTTGTACAATTTTTTATAGAAACGAAAATACAATCTGAAAAACCCCTCAAAATTTCACTCAACACGTTTAATTCTTCAGTGAGGTCCAATATGTTATCAAGTTCCAATGAGGCACTAAATGGAAAAAAAAAGTTGATAATGCAGATTTTTCTACCAAAACCATTAGATTACCAGTCAGTAGACCATTCTGGTAAACACTGCTCCTTGGAGATATTGTTGGTAAGGTCCCATAAAACCACAGCATAAACGTATGCAATGCTGTAGCCAGCTATTGGGACAGTCCCACACAATTTTTCTATTGGGTCCACAAAGAATGGGTCGACATTTTTAAAATGTGTCCAGATTTCTGATATTTTGTGTAAAATGGATCGACTTTTAAGAAAATGGGTCCAGATTTCTCATGTTTTGTGTAAAATGGGTCAATTTTTAAGAAAATTGTCCAAGATTATTCATATTTTTGCGTAAAATTGGTAAACTTTTAAGAAAATGGCCCACATTATTTGAATTTACGCATAAAGTTGGTCCACCCTGGTATTGTCCCACACTGTTTGAAAATCCTGGCTAAATCATTGAACGCACGTGTATGTGGGACAGCATGTGTGTTTGTGGGAGTGCGTATTCTTTAAATCAAACAAAAGAAATGATCATCTAGTTGAATGATGATGTCGGAGAAAACAGTGTCGGCAAGGATTTTATTAAGAACTGTATTCCATACAAAATTAAATTAATTAAACATTAAGCCTTAAACTTTTGTTAGCATATTCTTGTGATTTGTCAGTATAAAAACTATAGATACTGATACCACTTACAAAGTAGCAGAGTATTTCCGTTAATGATTTTCCTATTGAAGAAAATTGGCAAGGTTGATTGAGAAATGGGGAGGATTGACAAGATCCCAGAGAAGTAAACTTAATTATTGTTGCACATCTCTTTAGCGATTGTGCCTCTGTTACAAAACAGAAACAATAAAGTTATTATTATTATCAGAGATTATTTCTTTTAAATATCAAATAATAGGTTTTCTTGAGCTGTAAAATTACTAAGGTGTAGGTCCATAATGTATTTGTTTATGTGAACCATTGGTATTCTTTAGGGATTGAACACTCACCATTCTCAAAGGATAATGAACTAGGAATGCTACTATACTACTCACAAGTTTAGTTTTATGTCAATCTAAGAGGCTTTATTGTGGCTAGTGTGGCTACATTACCTGGTGATTGGGTCAACGGTGGTCTTTGATGAGTTCACTACGCCACATTCTTAACCAATCAGAAGATTTCCTCAGTAGTCAAGACAGGTTACCTTTTTTTTTTGTTCAAATAGAGGTTAATTTCTTTTTACCAACCTTTCATATTGAGGAAATGATCTGAGTAAGGTAGGCTGATATTTTTGTATTCCATTCCTAAATTTAATTCTTTTCAGTCTCTGGCAAATTTGAATCTAGATTTCTGATTATCCTGTGTTTAGGGAATGCAGTTAAAATTGAATCATTAATCACCAACTGATTCAAGTTTGCTTGATTTATACTGCATCTAAATAATGAGACTACTGAAATTGTTCATGCTAATACTACAAAGTTATAAATAATTTGAATTTATATACCTGTACTAATTTGAAATTGTCTATTACAGACACCTGTTCTTTATATATTCCAAGTTTTTTTTTTACATTTCTGAGTACCACTGCTAATTGTGAACAGCATTCTTTCATTCAATGATTTAGTATAAAGTCTGAATGTTTCACTGGATAAACCAAATCATAGTTAAAATTAATTTAAAGGTGCTCTAATGACCACCAACATTGGGATTTTCAATAATAATTTAAGTTGGACATTACTGTGTACTACAAATGGAGGGTCCACATCTGCCCCAACATTTCTTGCCCATGACACTTTTAGGTGGCTGGAAATGGCACTCTCCTAGCTAAAATGTAAATATTATTTTCTTTTCCCCAATCTTTTTTAAATTTTGAAATGTTTTGGGATTTCCTTCCCCCTCCCCCTCTCCCACTTCAATCTGACTATGATACTAACTGCTGTACTAAGATATTTAATATAGTTGACATTTCTATGAGGAATGTAAAAGGGCAAAGACACAGATAGAAATTCATTAATGGGTGGGCATAAAACTTGGTCAGAGGGCCAAAGTGAATTTTTGATTTGACACTGAGGGCCTCACTCAAACATTGATGTTTCCAGTGTAGTTTAGGGGTTTAGGGAATTTAATTTATTCTCGCAGCCTGCAACAAAATAACCATCAGGTCCACTTTGATCACCCATGGTATAAAGTAATGAACATTTTGAGAAAATACAAAAATACACCTGTACAGTAGTAGGAATTCTACAGTTTTGACAGGAAAAGAAAGTGATATAGTACTGCAGTATTTATTAAAGGAAGTTTGATACAAGGAAACAAATAGTAATTCAGTGTAGAGAGTTGCCTGTAGTATGGAGTAGGTTTGAATGGCATGATTGGCAATGACTATATTTTTAGGGTAAGTCAGAGTAAGATATTGATTTATTGGCCAATAAATCAAGGTTTTGTTATTTAACTCATACTATAATTTCTCTATGAAATACTGTCCTATACTATGCATACAGTAGTTAAAAAAAATGCTTACTGTTGTAAACTCAACTTCTGCCCATAGGATACTGTGTGTTCCCTTGCCTTGTAACCTGATATGTTTATCTCTTTTTTTTTTTCTTATAGTACTATACTAGCAAAGTTGCAATGATTTCAATATGTTATTCCGGGGTTCCACAACAAAGCAGAACTGTACATTAACAAGTCTCTGGTGTATTACTATGTTTTCAACATGTTGCGTGCGGTCTAACAACAATACACAACTGTACCTCTCCCCTCAGTGTTTTCACTTAACAGAATTCAGATGTTGTTATCCTCGGAGGATCACCTCATTAAAACACAAATAACACCAATCTATCACACTATGGCCTCTAACAAGTTTCTGAAATACTATTGCTAATTCTTTTGATGATTCGGCTTCTCTCCAAATGGATGATATGAACATAGGCAGCTTTAAGTGTTATTAATACACTACAGCAAAATAACGAATTCGCAAAGGACTCCCAATCCCACTAGAATTGACTCACCAGGTTTTACTTGTCCTATTTCCTCTAATTTTCCCTTCATAATGGTCTCAAGATTGTTTTTATTCCTGTCGTTTCTCTAGACCTGTTGTGTGCTTCATTCACTCTGAATTCACTTCCTAGTTGACACAGAAACGTCAAATACAGTAATGATTTGAATAAATGAATTTTGGCGCTTCTTTCTCCCACTTACTGAAATCGATTGTTTGAGAGTTTGAAATTATATTTTGTTAACCAATACTTCTTTCAGACAGAGCTGTATTACACATAATCATTAGTGATATTGCTAATGAAGCTGGCATCATTTTTCTGTCTGATTTGCCAATGTACCAGATCATAAATGTACCAGATCATCGCACTCACTATAGTCAAAGAGGTTAACCTCCTTGCTATAGTATTACTTATTACAGTAGTTATTAATCTATGAAATGTTGAGTTCAGATAGCTTTTTGTACAATTTGATGATTGCACTTTAATTTCCTGAAATAAAATCTTATAAACGAGCATAACAACTCCTCCTGGTAGGCTCGTAGACACACGCTAGAACAAATACCAGTAAAATAAACTTCCTTAGCCTCATAAAGGGAGTAGAACAAGGATGAACAACAACAACATCCGTATTTCTATTTATAATATGATATGAATTAAAGTGCATTCACACTAAAACCAAATTTTTGAATCATTAAGCCTACCAAACCGATCAGAAACTCAAATCAGTACAGTATGTAAGAATAGGGATGCTGGGGTTCGTAAACAGTCCAAATTTTCGGATTAGATGTAAATGCAGCGTTGCTGTATTAAATATTGTCATTGGAAATAGGTATTTAAGTGAGAACCTTATAAATGATTGGCCTGCTGGTCATTGCCAATTTGTCATGCAGTCATTTTAGGAATCATTTATCATCATATTTTGAAGTCACTTCCCCTAGTAATGTCAGGTGGTGTCATTTTTCATTGTCTCTTAAAGCATGCTTAAAGGCACAGTCACACATCAATACATACCGTACAAGAAATGATGGCCGTGTTGTACAGAGGATGTGTGCTATATAATAGAGAACTGTGCTGTTTTGTGAATTTGCCTCTATAATAGGCTTGCAAAATTTTAGCCTGTATCTTTTTGCAATATTTTCCCATGTTAATAGCCTATTCAAGGTGAAAATCTCCTGAAAGGTTTTTCGCACTAGTAATCGTAAACGTACCAGAAATGCATTATTATGTGTTAAAAGAGAGGATTTTAATTTTATTTCTTTCTGAATGCATTAATAATGTGTTGAAAAACGGGATTTAATTTTTTTTTTTCCATTCTCATAGAGTGACCTGCCAAATACAGGATAGAATTTAACACGTTGATGTCGTATAAAATAAAAGGCTTGGAGGGAGTGAGTTGTGTTTATTATCTGAGAATAAATACTTTAAGTGTTTACAGGATTTGAACACAGGACTCTGGGATAAGAAGGCAAGCAACTTAAACCACCAAGCTAGCCTAGTCTGGCCTGCCTAGCCTAGCCTCAGCTAACCTGAGCTCATTCCTTCATGGTGAAAAGCTACGGCTTCCAAACTACACAGCTTTCCAAACCAATCATGTACTACTATGCTAATAAATCTGGTGAATTTGAAAAATAATGCAGTTAGTTGTGTGAACTTTAACCTTTAATACAAATGCTAAGTCTTAAATCAAAATTATATTATATAGTAGCAGAATTGTTATATTGACTAATGAAGTCTCTAAATGAGTTTCTATTCATAAAATAAAGTGATGTAAGAATGATTTCTCTCAGTAATAAATTTTTTTTATTTTTTTTATCATGTGCTTTTCTTTTAATCTAAAGGTCGGCAGTATTTTCCCAGTATCATTGATGTTTTGATTTCTTTTGCCAAAAAATGATCTTACTTAAATTCGCAAGTCAACATTCATGTTTTGCATTAAGGCAGCTTCCTGCTTACTTGTGATGTTATAATGATTGAGTAGTGAGGGTCTACTATGAATGAAGTAAGCCAATGGCTGGGGACAAAGGAGGCTGCCAATCGCCCCCAGGGTAGAGTCCAGGGAAAACACAAAAACTGCATTCATAACAGTTTTCTAATGGATATTTCATACACATAAACTCAAAATACTTAAATTTGTGAGGAAAAAAAAACAGGAAAAGAAAAGTAAAAAATGTTGAAAGTAACGAATCATGTGAGTAAATAATTGCCAGGTTTGATATGTATATTCACCTTCTATTACTTGTCCTATATATTTCCTGTAACTCATTTTGAGGTGCAGTACTATACTAGATTTGGTTATAGTTTGTGCAGTTTGATTCTAAATCTTAGAGCAATTCCTTGTTTAGTTTGGTGCAAACTAGGTACTGAACGAAGGGTTGCCATCTGCACAATATTAAGCAGATTCCTTTGCGTACCGTTGTTTATATTTGCTACCCCACATTGTTGGTCGTATGAATCTAGAGTCATGGTTTAGTAACCAGTGTATATTGCTTGTTAATGGGGCCTTAAGGCCCCATCAAATTGATAAGCTTATTAGCCTTGCCTTGAAAAATGTGACAGAGGGCAGTTTTTATTTCAAAGCATGCTAATAACATGGTTGACAGTGAACAATATGTAATTCTATCACACTGCTCATTAATGTTTTAAGAGTGTGTGTATGTATTATATGTATACATAATATTAAAATTATAGGCCTACACAGAAAATCATATTATTTAGCAAGGAATGAAAAATATATCATATCACTCATATAAATTAAAACTTGGGAGAGCTTGATTGAAACAAAAATGGTCTGACCACAAAACATGACATATTTTTTGTCAATTTATGACAAAATTATTCTGAAAGGAAGTCACATGTGTATTTTTTTTCTATATGTTTTAACTTTAATAACCTCCCTTGATGAGTATCTGTAAAACTGGAAAATTTGACTCTTATTATAATATTCCAGCATGGGGGAATTTCAGGCTGTTGTCATACAGAATCAACATGTGTCTAATATGAGCTGGAATGTTATTTGCATTGAATATAAAGACATGAATAGACCAGCACCGAACGGCACCTTGTCATTGTGAAGGCTTGTTATGCCCTGTCGCATGACATATTCAATTCTAATCCCAGTTGCGATTCATAATTTTGTAGTTTGTGAAAGTATTATAGTGGATAGTGAATTACATTACGTCCATGTGGATTACTAAACTGTATAGCTACCAAACAGCAGACACCCACACTCAAAGGTAGTCAGGTACCCATAATGCCTCTGTTTTAGAATGCTATATATAGTACTGCTCTACATTCCTACTAAAAGCAAAGACTTCTGTAACCTGTGGCAGTTGCCAGGTATGTTGATGTATCCTCTGAGATTGTTTATTCTATCCCAGAATTCATAAGTACAATACTTTGGCATTCTCAGTATTCAAGATTCTTCACTTAATAGTGAAAACCGCACCTGTTTAACTCTAGTGAAAGATTATTTTTTTTATGTTTCATGAGTTTATGTTTAAGGTGGCTCATCCATGTCAGAGTGATGAAGTATTGACTAACATACTTTTCTATCATCTAATTTGATTGGCTGTTGACTACATTATGTTGTGTCATTCCTTACTACATGATTTATTCTGTATCTAATTTTAGTTTATTACTTTCTCCACAGCCAAGCATTCAAGAAAACAACATTGAAGTAATGGATAGCACAGACACCAGCCCAAGTCACTCCCCCTCACCAGCAGAGGAAGCTTATTTGGCATATTGCCAGGATGATAGCGAAGAAAACGCTCCTCTTCCTCCGCAGCGATGGGACAGTCATCACATTATGGGATCTTTTTCATCATCTCTAAATGAACAATTTAGTAATATGTCTATGAGTAGTCTTGACGACCGGTTAAGACGCATCGAACAGCGACACACATCGATGGAGAGATCATCTCCGGATGATTTCAGGTCTCGTAGGAGGAGGAGGAGGGAAGATCGAAGACGTGTAAGAACCAGCGCTCGCATTAATAGTAGCTCTAGCGCTTCTCCAGAACTTGGTGAGTCTTGCGAGTACATTGATAGTATTGATGAGGATTCATTGGCTGATAGTTTGCAAATTGCACCGGTAGAGGACAATGAAACAGCACCACCATTTGCAGAAGGAGGTGGACCGCTTTTGGACGAATCAGTAGCTGACCGCGGGTTTTTCAGTGCAATTGTTATGTCAACATCAAATGACCATTCCCAATCACCTCTTCATTCACAAGGAACACCACCAGTTCTAAAGCGATCAAGTGCAACTCAAACATCTCTTGAATCATTTGTGATAGAGAACTTAAGTGGTAGTCCACCACGCAGGAGGAGTCTTGAGACTTCTCCTAAACTAGGTGGCAAATTTGGTGGAGGCACAAAGCTTGGAGAATCATCAAGGAATCATGAATCTACGTTAACTTCTGATATCGACCCTGGTTTAGGTTCAAGTCCACCAAGTGGTGTTGAGTCATCACCATCTTTACCCCATAGGAGGACTACCAATTTTTCTAAAAGCTATGGTCAAAGAGAGCCATCAAGCTCTGTAGCATCCAGTATAGCTGGCACTGTTACTGCCAAAGAGCATCTTCAGGCAGCCACAGAATCATCCCACAGAGCTGCCATTGAGGCAGCCTCAAAAAGTTCTCCAAAGAAAATTGGGAATGTTGTTTCGCATTCTAATCGTAAACTCAGCACAAACAGTCAGCGTACAAAGCGTTTGTACAGACTGCGGCCACGTGCAGTATGCTCTACCTCTAGCGATGACGACTATATGGAGTCTGATCGAGTATATCCTCGATATTTAGTAGCAAAATTAGCAAATGGTGTAATTAAGAGTGAAGTTCAATCCCAGGAAACTGTAGATAACCCTCATGAACAAAACACTTCCACTTACAATGCACAATCTCCAGTACGCTTAAAACTACGTCAACGACGGTCTTCGGATAAATTACAGTATTTAAGAAAACGTAGCATCAAGAGTCCTGGAACGCAAGAAAATGTGGAGAGTCATGTTGAGAACCCAATTCGCATACGTCCTAATGACCGCAAAGCCGCGAGGAGGAGACGTCGCTCAGAATCGCTTGATTTTAAAGGTATGCGGCATCCAGTGGGACGAAAAGCACCGCTTCAGTCAAGAAGTCGTAGATTCTCGCAACCCAGTTATTCTAGTAATTACAATCCATGGATACTTAGGAATGATGTTGAACATAGCGTTCAGAATTTCAATACAAATCACAACAACACGTATGGTAGGTGTTTTGGAGATGCTAGCTTTATCCATGAAATTGAAATCAATGTTGAAAAACATAAAATGAAAGATCGTGTAAGCGTTTTGAAAGGCGGTGGTGCTGAACGTCCAAAATCACTTGTTGACGTGAATAAAGACGTGAAGAAACTGCTCAGTAGATTTTTGTATCAATCTGGACGTGAAATTTCTCCTGCTGTCAAAACAGCTCTTCAGGATATACAGAGCATGCTCAGACGGGACGATCGCTATATGGCCGAGGTTCTGCATAGTGCAAAGGTCATGGATAAAATAATTGCAGATAACAGTGTGTCAGGATCAGTAAAACGTGTGCCAAATGATTTCAGTAACAAATCACAAAGTATACGAAATAAAACAGAGAAAGATTCAGATGATGTTTTGCGAAAGGATAGCAAGAAAAATAGTGCTTTATTAGATTCGTCAGATAAACAAATCTTGCATCATAGTCTACCATCGCTGTTAATTTCAAAGGAACCAAGTCGACAGGAGATTGTAAAGAGTTTAAAAATTGCAAGGGAAACAATTTTGTGAGAAAATGAATATAATTAATTGCTGCTATAACACTTTTTTGATGGCATTTTCAGGCTGGTCTGCTCAGCATTTGACTTGAACCATGAGATTGTGGATGTAATGAGTTGGCTTGGATTTTAAAGTATGTTGTAACTCTTTTAATGTGAACAGTTGAAACATAAATGAAACGCGTGCTCCCTATAACCTATTCGTAAATTTCTGTGGCATACACGAACAAAGATTTTGCAATTTAAGATGTATTCATAGAATGTCAACCTTCTAACTACTGCCATGAAGTAGAACATTTCTTCACGTTTCCTTAGTTTAGTTTTATCTTGCATATTTTTTTTTCCAATGACGTGATAAGTGAAACATGTTTTCAAAGCATGTTTCAGCTGAAGTCAGATTTTCATTAATGGATAAGCAATTACCAGAACAACTGCACAAGTATGTTAGTTTCTAATTTGCATATTTCCAGGAATCAAAAGATTATATCAAGCAACTACATTGCTTTATCTAAAATAATAATCTTTTTTTGGTTGAATCATTCAAGATTTGCCAAGTATATTTAATAACCATCTCACAAACTTTCCTCATCAGACTCTTGCATTATTCTATTGCATATACTGCACTATTGTATACATGTTAACAATTCAATAATTACATAATATTGCACTTTTGTATACATATTGACAATAAACGCATTAACATGAGTATATGCATAATGGATGGATGAGTCTACATTAATGAACGCATTGACAGTAAATAATTCTAATGAGCATATGTATCGTGAGTGAACACGTCTGTATGAAGAACATGTTGCCAGCAATGAATCTATGTGAATGCATATTGTCAATGTAGTGTCTATAGTGTACTGTACATGAGTGAAACTTCAGTATAGGAATTGCTGATGAACACATTACATGAGTATATCTTGTAAACGAATGCAACTCCATGAGTGCGTTGTCAGTGTAAACACTATAGTGTACATGAGTACGCACTGTATCAGTAAGTGCATGTACTTAAGTATTGCAGTACATATGGAGTGAATGCATTTTCATCACCAGAGAATGCATCTATTGTACACGTGGATGCACATTGACAGTAACCCCAGTTAAACACACTGTGGATGAATATGCATTGGTATATGTACACCTGTTATCAATGACAAAATTTGTGATATTAAATTAAAAAATCTCAGTAACCTAATAATTATACAAAATACAAAATGGTTTGAAGTGAAGTAGTGAATTCTACTTCTTGAGGTGTTGGATGATCGGGGCTACTGTACCTCCCCACACGAAATGGAGGAAGGTAGTCCTAATCATCCAACAATGAGGCAAGTAGAATTGACTGCTTTACTGAAATAAAACCATGTTGTATTTGTTTTACTGTGCCTTGTAAATATTAAACAGCAAACTGTCCATCTACATTAGCCATTTCAATCTATGAGGGTAAAATTACGCAGTTTGAATACGGTTCACGTACGCAGGGGTGCGTAGTATTTACAGTATTTCCTCGCGTAAGTATAAATTTGGCACGCGCAGGGAAGAAGTAGAAACTATCGCACCCCTTACCCTGTGGAATTGACCAATGAAATGTAGTTATTACCTAATTTAAATTTATGAGGTATAGTAATAAAGTATTATTGATTGATTGTATATAAAAATCTGATGGAATACATGATTGATCTTCTTTATTAATTTAACAAAAACAGTTTCTGATTCAATAACAGAAAGTATTCAGGCTAAGAAGTCTTGGCTTTCTCATGTGAATTGAGGTAGGAAAGGAAAATTTTGTAGTGTGATTTTAGCAAAAACTCAACATTTAATGTAAAAATGAAAACTATAATAACATAAAACATGTACTATTAAAGAGTCAATGTCTTTTATGTAATTTTTTATTTGTGCTAAATTGTCTTTTTTATTTGTTTTTACCATTTGTATTTTTTATTTACTTTTTATGAATAAATATATGTTATTGTTAAATTGTTATTAACATTGTTATCATCAGGCGATGTTTAATAATGATGTTAATAAGTTAATAATACAGTTGCACAGCATTGAAAATGAAGAAAAACATCATTTTGTAGCTTAGTCATTTTGTACTCTGTTTATAATTCTGCACATTATTTATAGTATTTTAGAGTAAGTTCAACTATTTTGGAGGTTGGTTCCTATAGAGCAAGGTTCTCATGGTACTGTACTTGTAAGGGAAAAAGGATCCTCGGTCTGAACAAGGCAATTCCACAACAGGACACACATCTCGGGACATCAAAGAATATAACTCTGGCCTTGACATTTTACGTGTCGCGCGCCCCTACACCCTGATCGTCACAAAAACCATAGCAACCAAACCATAATTAACCGTCGGCGTGTGACGAATTACCCACATGTGTGTCAGTTACCATGATAATCGCGCATCGTGCGGTGGTTACAAAGGTCTAATGAATGTTTGCATTAACATTAGACTGAAATTATAATTTGTTATTTCAACATTAATTTTACCGATGATGTGGTGTCCAGTGATTTGCGAGACTCACTTCGCAGAAAAAGTAAATTAATTTTCTGTGTCTACTCAAATGATCATTTTGTGCACCTTACTCCAACATTGTCAAAATGACAGTTTAATGTTATATAAGAACATGAATTTTTATAAAAATCGTAAATTTTCATTTGCTATTAACTTTACATTTTGTCGGTCAATTTTCATAAATCAAATTGTAGTTTATAGAAGTACTTAACAAGCTCGCAGTCAAAAGAAATCAGATGTAACAGACATTGCAAAGTACCCAAAATTAATAAAATAGCAACTAACACCATAAAACATATGGCACACATAGACTAATAATTGACGGCTGTACTCGTAACTAGTATCGGATTGTCGATGCCACAGTAAAGATCAAAGGACTGTACGCACGCGCTATTTTCGCAAGTGGAGATGTGCGTCCTTTTGTTGAGTTGCCTTGGTCTGAAAGGATCCTTTATGGATTTAGCTCTTCATTGAACATTGTTCATCTATTTAGGGGTAGCTCCATAAGGAACATGGTTCTTGCATGGGTTATCTTCTCATGGATCTTGATTCCATTTAGGGAACTTCTTACTAGGGGTATTTGTTCATATAGTAGTGTGTCCCAGGGAGCATGGTTCTGTATAGATGGCTCTCCAAGGCACATTATTTCTGTAAAGGCTAGTTTGATTATGCTAAAAAGGAAGTGATCTCCTGTAAAGGGAAATATGGTTGGTTGAATTGGGAAAGGTATTATTTTTCATTGATTCTTCAATTCGTATTTATACTCAAAAACATAATATACTGATTATATAAGTACTATAGTTATAATACAAATACTGAGCTATGTAGTAATTTGTCTAAAACTTTAGTAATACAGTATACTGCCTTAAGCTAGAAAACTTGGAAAAAATGTCAATATTCAGATTGATGAATTTAAGTAAGTTATTAGCTTCAAATTGAATATGAGAAAAATAGTTTTTCTTGCTAATAACAGACCTTCAATTTGGTTTGTAATCAACTTACGGAAGTTTTTTTAAGTATAAAGTCTCTAATTAGCAAAACGTACTTGTGTATTGTTGGAAGTTAAAAACTTATTTGAATTTTTAACAAAGATATTCAATATTTGATATTAATTTTTGCGTAGACTGTACTATGTCTCGGTTTTTTTTTTTATTATGATGGCATTAATTACAGTTCTTAATGTTGTAGATGTATAAATCCATCCATTCATAACTTACAATTACAGTATGGACACCAACTTCAATTTTTTTTTTATATAGTTGGGGTGCAAATAGGAGGTGATACGAATGTTTTGGTTCTAATGTATGTCATATTTAATAAGTTAATCTTTCATAGAAAAGAAGTATTGGCATTTGTGTGTATAGAAGGAAGAAATGAAGAATTTGTATGCTACATTTCACATGTACTGTCCCTAATGTCCAGTAATATTGAATTAATAACTGCTTTATAACACACATAAGATAATAGACACTTAGTAAAGCTGTTCATTATGGTAATATCATATTACAGGGACACCATAGCAATATTCCCCATTCTTCAAAATGATATAGTTTTACCATTTTTTGGGGTCAAAGTGTAAAAAAGAGTGATATTATTGAATAGGTGCATTAAGAACTATTTGCTACGTAGTTAAGATTATTACAAACTGTATAAATTGTCGATCATTGTCAGGTAGATTATTCAAATGATATAATAGTTACGGCTGAATATATGCTTATGACTAGTATTCGACTCCATGAGTCTATACCTAATTTTAACTTATCCAATCATAATATTTCTTTTTAAGTAGAATGAATGCTAATATTCTATAGATTTAAATAATTCCGTGAAATCCTGGACGTCACTAATTGATTAAATTCTGGAAATAAACAGTTAATTAAATCCCAGGAATCAGTAATTGGCATATTGTATGCTGTTACACAAATAGCAATACTGTATATTAGGTAAGCATTTGGAATTTGTCGCAGTGTTATTTGTTTCTGAAATCTATGTAACGGTATTAATATTATTCATCAGATGCTTGGATGTTCAATTTGTTTGATTGAAAAAGCAAGCGTTTCCTTGGTATTGCATTTCTAATAAAAAAGCAATGTAAGAGTTTTTCCGAATAAATATTGTAACAAAAACGTAAATAATAAGGATAATAAATAGTGTGCCTTTCATACTGAAGTCTTATGCGTGTTGGCTTTTTTTTTTTTAGTTTTATTATCGCAAAAAAAATGACAGTGGAAAGATTGTGTGTGCATGGAATGAGATGTTATGCAAACCCACATGAATGGGGCACCCTTTGAATTTTTATTTCATTCTGCAATATAACTCTGCAATAAAAGGATGGAATTTAAATATTTATATGTGACCTCTATAAACTAAGCATATGCAGCTTGATAGGATGCTGTTTTAGATATGCTACTGACTCCACTTAGCTAAAAAAAAAAAAAAATTTTAATCAGAATAAACAGCATTCTGTATATTCAAGAAATCTAATAGATTTCATTTTATAAAAAAGAATGATTCCTAATTAATACAAGTGTTTATTTATATCATGCATATGTAAAAGTAGAATGAAAAATGTGAAAACTGTTTTTTTTTTTTCAATCTATTATTGGAGGTTGAACGTCAATGAGCAATTGAATGCTTTAATTAAATGTTTAAAGAAGAGAATACAGTTGTATCTACCCATACAGAAAATGACACTTTTTCCCCTTCTTTGACGTCATTGGCCGCTTTTGACTACGTCTGATTATTAGCTGTAGGTGATTACCCATAATACCCGCTGGGTTTGTGTTCTTAATGCTGACAGAACCTTCATGGGCGAGTCATGAATTTATCTGCAGAATTAGAAAATTAAAGATACTGTGTTAGGTGAAATCTAAGAAAAAAAGACACTTAAATTTAAAATTGAAATAATAATAAAATTAATTTCCAATGAGTCGAAGAGTTTTCACTGTTACAGTTTTACTGTGAAAGTCCTTAAATTGATTAACAAAGGGATGTCTATACAAAGGAATATAGAATGAGTATTTATAATTATGGATCTGATAATTCGCAAATACTTTCTTGTTCTAACTTTCAATTGAAAAAAAATAAACAGACATCTTTAAGTGATGCTTTACCACTGTGCTCCTGTATTTGCCACTATTTGATGAATACAGTACTGTAATGCTACGGAAATTCATGCCACATCCCATACTTATCTATAGTGGGCCTCTCAATTATGAGAGGCCCTCCTGCTATTTGATATGAAGTTGAGCATAGATCTCGACATGACCCCAAGAAAGACCCTGTGAACAACTGCTTCAAGTAGGGTGTTTTAGTATTAATAATAGTAATACTGTACTCTGTAATGGTAAGATTTTTTAAATGGTAATGATATTGTTACAATAGTTATATCTAATACCTTTTTTAAATTAAAATTCATTATTTTAGTTTTAATTTTTCAATACTAAAATCATAAACCATGTTGCATTAGACAGTTTAGACACTTTGGTTGCTTGTCCATTGTTTTATGTTAAATCAAGTAATTTGAAAAAATGATAAGACAAAAACCAAGAAGGATTTGTACTGACTTTGTATAAACAAAATACACCAAGTGGAAGATTTGATTAAGAATAATGTAGGAAAGTAGGCAGCGGACTTAATATTTTAGCAGTTCATTGAAGCAAATTTGACCAAGCATTAGTAGTGAACTTTTCATCACCTTTCATGTGAAGAGTGTATCAGCTTCTGATGCCAACAATCTGCTAGAATCTGGAAAAACTCTCATAAATTAAACCTAGTTACTCATTTACAAGGATCAAACAAGTAACTTTCAATAAGACCCTAAGCAAGTCTTTGTTGATTTACAAATTTATAAATTGACTACCAGAAGTATATGTGCACATATTTATTTATACATCTCTTAGAAAAAATGGGGCTTTTTGTGGGGTTTATACATCTCTTAGAAAAAATGGGGCTTCTGTGGGGTAACCACATTTATTCAAAATTGTTTACAATATTACATTTCTATACAATAAAATGATCGATATCCTGTAATTATAATGAGAATTATAAAAACTAAATTGAATAATACAGTAATAAATGCAAAATTGCTTTTGAAGTATTCATAGTTTTTTTTCTTTTTTTTTTAGATCTATCGAAGCTTGTGGATTTACATTTCATTTAAATACATTGTCACATGAATTGTTACACATTAACCATTCAAACTACTGTAGGCCCATAATCACAACAATAATACCTCTATTGTTATTACCTGAAATACAATAGCTTTTTTCCTCAGTTGAATATCTCAGCTTTAATTTATTGTTTTTATGTGGATTTACATTTCATTTCAATAAATTGTCACATGAATTGCTACACATTAACCATTCAAAGTAAAAATATGTTAATCTGATTTCTATTCAACCAAAAATGGGCAAATGA